CTCTAACGCAAGTGAGAGACACGCCGTTCAACCCCCGTTGTGTGAAATCCTGGTGTTGTGTGTATGGGGGGCCAGGTCGTGCCGTGGCGCGCGCAGTCATTGTCAGCCGACCATGACGGCCACCGCGCCCATTCCCCACTCCAGTCTGCTGACCGGCTCGGACAGCGGCTGGGGTGTGGGAGTGGGAAGGGAGAGTGAGGTCGACGACTCAGCGCACTTTCTCCTCACTATAAACAATCTGGCGCGCTTGAAGCTATCACGGTGCGCTAAAAGCCGTGGCTTGGAAGGTTGCCCACTGACGGGGTAACTTGGACCTCCTCCTTGACCGGAGGCGGTCTGAAAGTCAGGCTGCAATGGCTCCTTTTTAATGTGGTCTCTATGGCACTCCCATCACAGTGTGGGATCCGAGCCAGGCGTTGGCGGCACGCCCAGGTGCGGCTTTGGCCGTGCCAGCCTCCAAATCTCTCTTGTGTTGGTTGAAATCCTGGTCATTTGTGTGTGGACCAGGGGGTGCGGAGTGGAGCACCAAGGCGAGGATCCGTCCGAGCCATCCACCTGCGGCCTCCCTCGTCCCCGGTCTTCTTGACTCTGTCTTGACACCGGGCTCGGGCGAGGGAGGAGGAGAGAGTGTAGGTAGATGCTACGCAAGTCTACCGGCACTATAAACCCCTGCGTAAGTCACCGTCCCTGCTCCCATTGCTGCTGCAACTGTGGGGCACACGGTGTACATCATCGAAACCGATGGTCGAACTCTCATGTGGAGTAATGCAGTATAAGTGAGACTCAGACCACGTTATTTTACCGATAGTTCTCGTGCATGCGCATAGGGCCGAATAGGTTTATGCAGCGTATTAATGTCCTGAGACAACGCGGACGGGTAAGACATATAAGATGTTGGTCAGGGCTCATGACATTGGCTATCCGGTCTCACGGGGACGGATTCACAAATGACTAACCAGATTGGCGTGTAATTGGAATGCGTTGTCACAATGGAGACATGTTAGTACTGGTGGCGGGTGCCCTTGCCGTCCTGACGACGTTACGTCTTTAAGGCTGCAAAAATGTTTGCCTGGGCGAGTCGGGACTGGAATGTGGTAGTTCTGAGAGAGAGAGAGATACCTACGATGGTGATACTGGTGATGGTGTCCTCCAGGGTGGAAGGTGGGTTTGTCGTGTCGGCACTGCGGTAAATTCAACAGTGTCTAACGTGGCCAATCCGCGCCCTGAACGTCAAATGACACTAATGCGCAGTCACGGCAAATCTCGGATGCATCTACTGTGACAAATTTGGTGAAGCAGGGTTGTGCACTCGCTTCCATGCTGTGATCACCTACCGTGAGGGGCAGCCGGCAACCAATTGCAACTATCGAATCTAAGGATAGCCACTCAGCATCTGACAAATTCAGTCGGTGACGAAAGTTCCCAAGGCCAACGTTCAGGATTTCCTATTCATGTGCTGAAGCACAGCTAAAACTCTCCGCCTCGCCTTCCTTAACACGCAAGTGGAAATACACAGGGCTATCGGTTAGAATACGCTCCTTTACGCGGCAGTGTGAACAGCTCAGAAAAATCTGGCAACAAAACTAAACCACTTCCGCCTCAACTGCCTCTGAGGAATACTGGGGGTGAAGAAGGAGTGAGGAGTCCAAATTGCTGAGGTCCTAGGGAGAACTTTGAAGCAGGTCAAACTGCAGAAGAGAGGCTATGCCGTGAGAATAACTTAGCTTGCCCCCACGGGACTGTTCTGTAGTGTCGTCGTCACGAATGTTTGCAGACAAGGCGGACAAAAGTGGCGACATGAAGACACTCCAAAGACTCCTACCAGGCACTGGAAAATTCCCACGCAGGATCAATATGCTTCGCGTACTGTTGAAGAATCGAGGGATTGCCTTTGAAGCTGACCGAGGAATTTGGACCAAATCAGAGCGACATATATGCAAAACACACCACGTCTAAATATGCTGTTTTTCAACAGCACCGAGAAGCTGTTGGCACAGAATAAAAGACCCTTTTTAACCGCTTGGCACTCTATAAAGATCAGCACCCCGACCATTGTTGTCGGTGACTTCAAAGGCAGTGTTACGCCTGAATCCGAAATGAGTCAGTTATTTATTGCCTCATTTTGAGAAACTGAGGGTGTAGGGGACAGAAAAGGTGCAACCCTAGACCGGCAAGTCTCAAAGTACAGGACGTTTTTAGAAATCTTGAGCATGAATGTAACAAAAAATGACCAGTGATCGGATTTAAAGGAGCCCGACAGAAAACGAAACCGAGACTTAGCGTTCAGACATGATCAGCGCAGTCATGTGGGCTAGAGAAACCTACTGACCTAGAGGAATGCGTGCAATGTGCATACGCATGGCTGCCGCTGTCTGAGCGATGTTTGACAGTTAGGTATTAGTTGGGAAAAAACGATGCTTAATACCGGTAGAGCAAAGAGAGCACGCGAATGCTAAGCTAGACAATGGAAGCCTCGTCCAAAGTCAAACATATGCTAACAGACAGCACTGTGATAGTTCGGAGGTAAAGATTTTAAGAGAAGTGAGGGCACAACTTTGTGGTTTCGACAACATGCACCCGGAGGCATCCATATTATTCACAGAGACGAACAACATCCTACCGCAGGTGCTTTCGAAAACCTGACTTCCTACATCTGCAGGCTACTCCATGCCCGACTTATCGTGATCTGATATGCCAGAAAAGGCAGTTTTTCAATTGATTCGTTATAGTTCAGAGGCATGACGTCCGGCGCGGACTTAGAGGGTCGACCTTCCAAGCTCATGGCTGGGAAAAAAGATCCCCCACTTTTCACAAAGGGTATTCGGCTCAAAGGTTAAAAGCCAAATAAGGATTCCCCCGGAAACCCACGAGATCCTCGAAATAAAACGTAACAGGGATGCTTAGTATACGCTCGTAGGTGTACGTGCAGAAACAAAAGATGACCGGGTAAGGCATCAACATAAATGTGACTACAAACTTAGTGCGGGAGGAAAATAACCACCAAAGTCACAGAGAACAAGAAGCAAGGCAACAAGGGTCGAACTGGAAAAACACGATAATTTAACCGCCACAGTCGACGTGATTCACTGCTGTCCTATGAAATGGGCACAGCCGGCTTGTGTTATTTTTATGGCAATGCTGAATTGCGTGTACCTACTTCGCTCTTTCTCCCTCATCTATCTGTCTCCAGTGAAAAGACAAGGTTAAGACGACCAGACGAGGGCACAGGCGTAGTGGTTGATAAAGTTACACAGCCTACCTATGCGTGCAACACATAAAACGTTGTCTCTAACTTTACAAGTAACGGGCTTTATTCAGGGGGTCTCGGATCCGACGTAAGTGGTAAAACAATCATGGCCACAGTAGGGGGCGTCTTAGCTTGACCATCAGTACCAAGCAGGACTAAGTTAGTTACTAGGTTGAAAATCCCCAAAGCCGAGACTAGCAGCATGTCGTTGGAGTCCTTATGCGTTCACGACTGTTTGCAGTGAGGAAGAGTGCGCTCGATCACTTTCACTTTCTCTCCCCTTTCCTACGTGCCTGTGGCTTGTTCGCGTACAGTTGACCGAAAATGAAACTGGGCGTGTGGGTGACATGACGTGAGGTCTCCGTTTAACGTGCGCAACACACGGGAAGAAAGCACGTAGAAAATACACACAATTACTTGTCATCGAAGTGCCCGAGAACGGGAACGAAAAAAGAACCGTGTCAGGCTAGTGCCAGATATATTCTGTGACAAAGGACGCGCCACAGTTGTACTGGATAGGACAGACTACCTTCAAGTGATCCACACTTGGGGTTGGGTATGACTGGCTGATGACGGCTAATAAGCCAGAAATGGCCATTCCGGTCTCCCTTATCTTTGTCGGCTCCATCTCATCTATGTCTACCTTCAAAAAGCCAAAGGTTTACTGGAGGACCGACAGTTTTATGTCCCATGTGCAACGAACCCTTTAAAGGCGCTGAAACGCGAAATTGATGCTATGTTGTTGGCCTTGGAGAACCCAGGTGCAATAACACCGACCGACGGACGCATGGCAAGACCCCAAGATACGGCTTTGGCCCAATTCTATGGCCTCCCTAAGGTGCACAAAGACGGCGCTCCTCTCCGACCCATCGTGTCGCTCAAAGGGACTCCAACGTACGGACTGGCTAAGTGGCTGTTCCGGCGTCTCAAGTTCCTGACCGCTGAGTCAGACACCACGGTCTCTTCGTCAGCACAATTCCTGGAGAAACTCAAAAGGGTAAGCATCCATCCAAATGAGGTCATGGAATCTTTTGATGTTACATCCCTTTTTAATTCAATTCACCAGGACCTGGCGATCGAGACAATTGAGCTGCTACTACAAAACAAAAACGATGAAACGGAGAATCGTCTTGGACACGCCCAAGTCCTTCAGCTCCTGAAGTTCTGTCTCAGGACGTACTTCACGTTCGACGGGACAATCTACGAACAGGTGAAGGGCACACCAATGGGTTTGCCGATTTCGGGATTCATCGCCGAGCCGGTCCTGCAACGGTTAGAGTCGCTGGCCTTCCAACTACACAGACCGAAATTCTGGACCCGGTATGTCGTCATCGAACGAGATCAGGTGTTGAAATTCCAAGAACATGTCAACGCCGTCTTCCCGGACATTCAATTTACGATGGAGAAAGAAGAGAACAGCCAGCTGGCCTTCCTGGATGTCCTCGTATGCCGCAAAGATTGTGGTGGACTAAAGACCAAAGTGTTCAGGAAAGCGACAAATACGATGCAAGTACTGAACTTCAACAGCAACCACCCAATCAGTCACAAACGCAGTTGTGTAAGGACGCTCTATCGGCGTGTCGAAACGCACTGCAGTGAGCCGGAAGACAAAATTGCCGAACTACAATACCTCCGAGGGGTCTTCAAAGCCAATGGCTACCCGCGCAACTTCGTCGACCGGTGCATACGCAAAAGGGACGAAAGGCCTAACCGCACGGACATCAAATGTTTACGGGCACTCCCGTATGTCAAGAACGTTTCGGAAGCTGTCGGCCGCCTTCTCGCACCACTTGGGGTTGGAGTGGCACACAGACCGGCGGCAACCATCAGGCGTCTGGTCATGAAACCGAAAGACCCACTGCCACGGCTAGAAACGTCTGGAGTCGTTTATCGGATCTGGTGCATTTGCGGACAAAGCAACTACGTCGGAGAAACCGGAAGACAGCTCCGAGCGAGAATGGCCGAACACGCGGCAGCGGTTCGCAGAAATGACGCCAGCTCTCAAGTTGCGGCTCATTCGACGAGATCCGGCCACACATTCAAATTCGATGAGGCCGAAATTCTCGCAAGAGGTGACAACTGCGTGAGCAGGGAGCTACTGGAATCATGGTTTACTGGCTCCCAGTCCATCAACAAGTGCAACGATCTTCCCACTCCATACGCCGTGCTGAAACTTCGCCTAGGCGGAGTAACAAGCCATGCGGGGAGCGCAGAGGTGAACACTTTTCCCAACACCGGGATCGGTGCGTCAGATGGTCGAGAAATCGTCACACCAACATCCAAGGCACGTGATGAAATTGCAGCAATTATCGACTCGAATGTCGGCCATCAAGCAGTGATCACACCAAGTGCGACGATCCCGGATGTAGGGGGGAGCCGTGAATGTTCATAGGTATGCAGTGGCATGGCTACTGTATCCTATAAATACCGCAGCCCCTTGTGCAACAACCACCCGTTTCTGCTTTTTTGTCTCTGATGATGGATTCGAGAAGGAATCAGAAACGTCAGGCTAATAAAGCTCTTGTCCCGGCGATCGTGTCTCCTTCTTCAAGACTTTTGGTTTAGATATTCAAATGGGTTTCCCGTCTACTGGGTTTCTGGGATGTCCAAGTTTTCCCAATTCGGGTTCCGGTCGGATGTATCATGTCAAATATCCTATCGAATAAACCTTTATTTTACTCGGTTTGTGTTGGCCACTAGTGTGGAGCACTGACTTCTTGATATCGACTTTGTCTCAGACATTTATTCGATAAATGATATCAAAACAAGGGTGAAAAAGACAAATCCAGTCATCCTCCTTAGCCGAAAAATTGATAGTTTGAGCAAACCAACCAATATAAACTGCAGATAAATACACCGCGCTTTGAGTGTAAGAAGCGCTCGTTACTTGCTCGACTAGAATGTGCAAATAAAGCTGGACAGTGCGCGACAATGGCCCACGGTGGGCCCAGCCTCGCGCCCCTGCGAGTGGCCCTGTTGGCCCTAGTATTCATGGCCAATAATGACGTTGCGTTCCGAATTCGAATCTGACTGCGTAGAGTTCCATTTATAGGGCAGCTTGAAGTACCTGCTGATGAAATTGTGACAGCATTTTCTCACGTTAATAATCCCCTCTCACTGCGTTGTTTCTCACTCACAGAGTGTCGTGGCAACAAACACAAAGATGTGATTATGTTTTACACTGAGGGTGGTGATGAGAAATAAGGGAGTGCTTCACTGAAAAAAACCGATCGATAAATGCACTGAACTTCGGCATCGAATGAGGTCTGGGTTTCCGGTAACGAAGACTGAATGTTGACAGACTACGAGGAGTCGGATTTGCAGTTGGACATTTAGATGGTTAACCCTGATGACGTTGAGTCAGTCGTAGAGAATATGCTTAAGGCAAGAGGTATTGACTGCCTCTTCAAAAGCGAAATGCACTTATTTTGATGAGAGGGCTCAGAAAAACTCCTACCTTTTCTCGTTGTCCACATCCAAACGAGTTAAAATTCCGAAAAACACACAAAAAGTGGTCGGATAAGTGCTTGGCACACACAGATCTTCATAGTGACTAAGACATTAGAGTGAGTCCATGGGGCTTCAGGCCCAACGAACATTTTGTGAATAATCTCAATTTGAGTAAAGGGATTATCTTTCCAAAGCAATCCAAAATGTTCAGTTGTTTAGGTCAACCGTCATAGGCACGCAGTAGCGAGCCTGACATTGTCAGAATCCTGTAATTGTATGACTTAAGAGTACTCGCGGCAAAATATACGCTTCACGAATGCCTGACTGACTCTGGGCAACAATGAGTGCACGCATAAAGTGGCATCAGGCGTTGATCATCGTAAACATTTTGATCGGTAAGTCATCAACTTCCGTTATCTAGAACACGGGAAAGGATGTTAACGGAATGCACAGTAAATGAAACAAATTTCAATCGACTGGTGGCAATTCCGGATGGATCCATGCGTATGTGTCTACATTTAGCATGGTTGGCTATCCCCCTTTGTCACACACTGCAATGGACTCAAAATGCTAGTAGCAAACTCCTCTGGAGAAGTGTCAATGAAAGTTATACAGTGGTAGTTCGGACATCGCATCTAACTTTTCTTCACCTGGACAAAAAATGATAATGACCTAGCTGCGAACGGAAATCCTCCTTTTTGTCTAGAAACTTCTCACAGAAAACCAGTATGGACAGTGTAATGACAAGACTTACTGTCTTTAGAAAGATTGTATTTGTAAAAATACAGTCTCCAAGGGATTGCGAGAGTATCAAGTTTTATAATTTGGAGAAATATAGCGGTTCTGGGAAGATGTGATGGCTGATCCTGAAATCCAATATATTCATATCGGTGCTGATATTGGGTCAATATGCTCGTCCTTATGACCATGAACGGTCGCGGAATGCTGTAACCGGTATTTCACGTGTGTTTAATCAGAATTTTGGCTTCAACATGATAGCGAATCTCACGACTATCGTCGCATATTTGCAACGGCAGAAAAATATCATTGCAGTGTCGAGACTTAACAGGTGGTGTGTGCACTTGCGAGGTCCTTCTGTTACTTAGGATGTCTCAGGATCGGTGGGCTTTAAGGAAGGCTACTTACAGTCGAGTTCTTGTTGGATTTTGGTCGCCAAGTGAAATTTGAGTTATAATTGCGAAGCCTCAAGTATGTTATCATGTGATAATTACAAGATTAAATGGTCCGGAAAAAGGCTTTTTGTATACGATCTGCATGGACTTCAACATGGTCTAAGCCGCAGGCGCTGTAGCCGTCGACCAAATGCGCTAGCCTAGCGCTACGCCCCCAGCTAGAGAGTCGACTATCTCGAAAGACCTTGCTTATCGCAGACAACGGGGTACCGATAGCACACACTTAGCACAAATGGACGGCGTAGTTAGTAGTGTCTAATAGCCTCTCACATTATTTGGATGAAATGACAGACTAAAACCTGCAGAGAGCTTGGCTATTTGAGTTGCCGCCCCCGTTGATCAGACCACCCTAGCCTGCAAAAACGGTCATCGGACCAAAAAAATGAAGAGAACTTGACTGAGATGAACAGAACGGGAGGGGGAAGATTAGCCTCCAGCAGGCTGAGGATAAAGAAGGCCTGCGGGAGTGAGGAGCAACTGTCGTCGATATATGGCCGTATGGCTCTAGCTGGAAAGTCGGAATGATGTACTGTGTACAGCCACAAAAAATTGGACCATTCAAAAAGACCCTTAATTTTAGAGCCTAAAAAATGATCCTGTTGAGGTTGCTAAAAAATTGTTCGTTGGTTGAAAATTTGACATTTTGAAGGTTTGTGAGTATCAACTGGCCCGACATGCAAAAAAAAACTTTTTTGCATAAAAACCCATAGAAGACTGAGCTTCGAATTCGGTGACATAGAGCATGAGAGGAAAGTTGCCATCGCTGACGTTGGACATAATGGACAACGGCATCGGCAGAGCTGACGGGCAAGACGGTCGTTTATTAGTAGCATGTAGAGATCTAACAGGCATTCAACACCAGTAAGCTTACTCCTACTCTTAAATATAACCTGAAGCTGTGAGAGAAGGCACGCATTGCTTGAAATCGATTTATAGATTCTTATTTCTATTTCTCAGAAACGAGTGCAAACTAAACAGGAAAAAAGTGAATGGGTGGAAAGGAGGCAAAATACATTCAAATAAAAAAACGCAAATTAAATAAGTTGAACAAGTCACCTGCTTGCATTTGCATGTCTGGCTTCCATTACAGTCCAAACACCCAGGGCATAACTGGGAACGCAGGAATTCAAAAAATGCGCTTTTAAATCGAACGAGTTTAGTAAAGCCACACATCGCTAAAACCGTTTTTGTTGGCATTTGGCTGAACACTGAAGTCATAATGAATAGTTGGTGTATGCAACTTAAGTTGTATCTATATTATTAGTCAATACAGCTATCCGCCATCAGAAAACGACATTGTCTCCTCAGCGATACATACCTCGTCGGATGTTAGCAGAGTCTGACCAACCTTCCGGAAGAACATTTTACCCGAGTTGATGATACTAAAGCAGCTTGTCTAAACATATATTGCCAGCGCGTTGCATGCTTATGAATGCGAACATTCCCATACAGATCACTCAAATCATCACTCTCGGCATCATTTCCTGACAACTTTCCGCATTGCTTCTAAAAACTACCTTTCGCAACCATGTTTGTCGCTTATCATTATTGTTATTACTACTAGTTTATAAAACGCTCTTCTATCCAGTCTGTTTCCCTCATATCTACCTCGTCCATCGTCATCTTTTATTCATATTATCCCTAGCTTGTTGCTGCTCCTCATCAGAAATTAACTTTGGATACCAGGCTCTATGGAAATTTTGAAGCACAAGGATCCCCCAACCCACTCCAAGAGCAAATAATGTGGATTTCGTTTCGCATACTTGCTAGGCCGCCCCGACTTCACTTATTATCTACCTCCCAAGACACACTTTTGACATCTGGAACTTCGGGGCCAACTACATTGACGGTCTCACCCCACTTTGATACTCCATGTTCCCATTCTGGTAGCTAAATAAGACTGAGACGGATGGGATCTTGGCCGAATCTGGGAGGTCGTTTGTCTTTTTCGCCCAGCTTATTAACAATACCACCAGTTGTTTTGCTGTACCGATGGCTTGCGTGTGTTCCACGCGTAAATTATCGTGTATAAATAACCATTTGAATAAACAAATTCGTAGGATTGGGTGAGAGGTGGCCGATACAGATGGCGGAGGCAATGACTGGGACTTAAACAGTTGACCTAGTTCACCCCATTCCTCGGAGGAAAATGCAGGGAGTAGTTTGCTCGTGCGATTATTTCCACAACGCGTTCTACGCAAGGAATATGTATATAATATTTGTTAAGCAAAAAACCTTCCACACCGACTTTCATTTGTGTTAACTCTTTTGAATTTTATTCCTTCCCGGATTGTCGCATGGTCCTGTCCGTCCCACTATGACTCGCTCCGTGGGGCGGAGAAACGTGCTAGTATGGAAGGCGTCTACAACTTATCATCGAGCTGTGCACTCAATATGGCGCTTTTGAGTGGCTTATTGTTTCGTCATAAACGGAGCAGAACAAAGCTGTCTAGTTTGGTACTTTATACGTCATATAATGCTGGCTGTGGTGACCTGATCTACAGGAAGTCAATCCAAGAAAGTCTTGTTAACATCGACCGGCTTATTGCTTACACAGCGAACTGACTGTTCTTCATTCGTTTCCGCCCCGTCTTTAGCCTTTTCTCTTCCCTTGTGCAGTATTTTCTTCTGCGTTGCTGACTTGAAACGTGCGGCTGTGCTGGCTGCTGTCGATATTTTTACGTAGTTTTTTGTTTTTCTGCCCATTCTTCGTATGACAATCAATCTATGAAAACCTCTTATTAGGGAT